GGGCCTCCTCTCTTCAGAGGGCCTTCTGCTTTCAGGCGGTCTCCTTTCTACAGAGGGCCTCCTCTCTACACAGGGCCTTCTTTCTACAGATGGTCTCTCCTCTACAGAGGGCCTCCTTTCTACAGAGGGCCTCCTCTCTAAAGGGGCCTCCTCTCTACAGAGGGGCCTCCTCTCTACAGAGGGGCCTCCTCTCCTCTTACAGAGGGCCTCCTTTCTACTGAGGAGTCAGAGGGGCCCTAGCGGTCAGACACAGACACTAGCAGTTATTCACAGGAGGCCCCAGGAAGTAAGAAGGACCCTAGCTGTCAGGCTGGTCAGAGGCCCTGAATATCCTGACGTGATTTTTGGGATTCCCTTGAATTTATTTCGCCTCCGACGTGATTTTGGCCCCGTGGCCTTCGGCCCACGGGGTCCTCCTGAAAACCCCGAGGGGGGGGGGGCACCCCGTCCATCTTGGGTACGTCCCTGAACAATTGTCCTAATCGTTCGTCCTACCGTCCGAGTTCCACCCACATGGCCTTGCACCCACCCCTAAACAAACGAAACGAAGCTGTTAAGTGTCGCGCCTTTGTTTTGTTGTGTTTTTCTGCTTTCTGCGCCGCTTTAGCGTGCGTTCGGTGTCCGGAAAATATCGTTTGGATATTCTCGGCCGGAAAATTATTGGTGGGTGCCTATCTTCAACATGTCTCATTATCGCGATACCGAACGTAATCCCCGATAATTATCGCTGATGCCGGATAATTTTCCCTGATTATCCGGATGCCGAAGGCACGCATAGTAACATCCAAAGGTTTTGTGCTGTATCGTCAGCTGATTATGCCTGCGATGGCGTCAAATTCCGTAAAAAGGATTTGACCTTCTTCTGAAGGCGAGACATAAGAGATATCTTAGAAAAAAGGTGAAAAAAAACATTTAAAAGTTGGTGAATGTGCAAAATTCTTTCACCAAATCCTTTTAAGATAATGCCAGTTTATTTTTATTCATTATGACGTTATCATTTTAAAGATTTGACATAATCATAAACCTAATCAGCGGATGATATTTCACCGGCCTTGATTTCACCTCTATTTTACTATTTAGGTATAGTCTTGTTACAAAAACGGTGTGACAACGTTCGGGAGGTGAGATTACCGTTCTTGTAAAATACCGCAACGGCAACCGAAGTTGCTTGGTGACGCCTGCTGTACTGGTGTAACATGCTGACCAATTGATTATTTCAGGCTTGCTAAAACCACAGTTGATTTTTATGTGTACCCTCCTGGTTTTGTTCTGCTAGTATGTTCTTTCTAATGACTCGAAAGTCATTTTATAAATTAAATTTACTCCCTCCATTGTAATGCACATTTTCAAAGCCCCCGGTTAGTTTTAAGGCCAAAATTGGGTAGTTAGTCGTAAAGCAGAGAGGCGCTTTATCGAGACTCCAGAGATGCTTTCTAATCGGACCAAACCAAACCAAACCTAACCAAATCTGACCTAAACTCACCTACAACCAAAAACATGCAACCTACAACCTAAAATCTACCACCTAAAACCTAAAACCTACACCCTACAGCCTAACCTACAGCGCATCTCCTTGGTTGCAAAAAGAAGTGTGACGCCTGCTTTACTACTACCCAAAATTGTAACTTTGCCAAGTTGAGCTTTCTTAATTTGTCCATATTTTATAATGTTGGGGGGGCTGCCTGGCAAGTTGGGGGGGCTGACCAGCAGGTTGGGGGGCTGAAGCCCCCCCAACTGTATAGGATCCTACGCCCCTGCGGTCGTCCCTGTAAATGCCGCAACTGCGCCATGACTGTACGCTAATCCTATTCCGTTTGTGATGCGAATTACCGGCCGTCGAGGAGTCAGCCCGGGTGAGCCAAACAAGATCCGTTTGACGTAGATAAAACGAATTAGTCTCATGTAACCGGTGCCGTAGATACGTTTGTGGGGAGCTGATGCGCATTGGCGTAGTGCGTATTTGGAACGGATCGCTCATGTAACCCCGGTAAATGTGGAGTGCGCATCGGCCGCCAGATGGTGTCCAACGGTGCCGCCATGTTGCGCAGACCAGAAAGCGGCCGCCGCCTGTGTTGGGGAATAGGGAATTCGGGACCTCGATTTACGTTTTCGGTCGCTGCATCCGTTACGTTCAAGCTATGTGGACACGGAACCCAGCATCTTACGCAGAATTGAGTGGAGAACAAGATGAAATCCTTAAAAATCCTCAGATATAAGGAACTAATACGTTAAACCCTTATAAGTCAATGGGGAAATATGAAAACTGCTATTTTGGCGCCGAGAATGATCTGAAACTATCTCAAGCATATAGAATCATGATTTCATGCACTCCTTGCAAGGTTCTATGCTTCATATTTGCATTGTTGCCCTTGCGTGACGTCATTTGTGACGTCACAAGGGTCACATTTTTTCTTCAATAACTCCCGATCAAATTGAGCTAGCGAGTCGGGAAAGCCACCAATGGACTCAGGAAGACCTGCCGAATCGGATGATATGCGACATGACCTCTTTCGACCAACTTCGTGACCTGGGGGTGCTGACCTGACCTTGACCTGAGGTCAACACCCTAAGTTGACCTGACCCGAACAAAAAGTATATCATTCGATGCGCCTGAGCTAGCTAAACACGATGATGCCAAAATCGCGGCTCTACGGCCATTTTTGGCGAAGCTATTTACCAAAAACCGAACCCTTGCCTTAGATCACTTGTAGAGTTGCAAAGTTTCCCCCAAAGGCTGCTACCGGCACCGCCCCGCCCCACAATTTTTTTTGGGGATACCGGCATGCTACCACGCCCAAAGCAAAAACACCACCAAATTACCGGCATACTAAAAACCTGCATTGTTGATTCCAGTTTACCCCTACAAGAGATGCCACATTTTCCTCTTAGTGTTCAAAGTTTGAATCATATGCTAATAATTTTTTTTGTGCAAAACCAAAAATACCGGCATGCTACCGGCAAGACATGCCAGATACCACAAAAAAAAACCTGCGGTAGTGAAAAATTACCGGCATGCCGGTAATGTGGTAGGGAAACTTTGCAACTCTAATCACTTGACCTGACCTCAGAGGTCACCGGTTGACCTGAGACCTTTACAGCGGGTTCCTACCAGTCACTCTGCATTATACTTTGCCGCATATGGCCACTTTACCGCTTAATTCTAGTTAAATTAGCGGCGCATTAGCGAGGTGGGTTCAATCAACCCCCTCGGCCGGGGCAAATGTAGGTCCGGCGAGTGAATTTAAGGAATTCTGAAGATACGATCGTGTTCCCCACTCAATTCTGCGTAAGATGCCGGGTTCCGTATCTACGTAACTTGAACGTAACGGATGCGGCGGCCGCAAACGTAAATCGAGGTCCCGAATTCCCTATTCCTCAACACAGGCGGCGGCCGGTTCTTGGTCTGCGCAATATGGCCGCCACCGTTAGACACCACCGGCCCCCGCCGAAGTTAGTTGGTAGCACTGCTGCTCCACGGCGTACATTTCCTACCAGCCCATAGGGTTTACATGTTAAATGGCCTGTTTTCAGCGAGCGAGATCTCGGTCAACCTTTGAAGGAATCAATGGTTCTTAGTCTCAAATGATAGATCGATGAATTTTCTTTCGACAATTCCTCTACCATTTTTCACGAAACCCAGCCGATCTTCTACGGCGTACAGGGTAAAGATTTCTCTGCACGCCAGCACCCGCGATCCGCCTCTCCGATCGTCGGCGCGCGGTCCTCGGTAGCGCAGTCGGTAGCGTATCGGGCTACGGATCCGAGGGTCGTGAGTTCGAATCCTGGGAGCGCCGCGTGATTTCGGCTAGAATAGAATGATGTAGATTCTTGAATGTTTGCATAATCAATTATGAATAGCTAATAGAATGTATATTCTGCCCACTAATCGGCCCCTAAAACCTGTTATTTTAGAAATTTAAGAAATGAATGTCAAGTGCGCGTCACAACTGCCGACCATAAGCGTTACCATTTTCTAGTTTGAACTAACTTTTTGCTAGTCCCGACCACATATAGTAGGCTTTCTAGTAGATATACTAGAAATGCCTACCAAAGTTCGTCCTACCCGTCACTCAATGTACCCTGAGACACCACTGCCAATAGGATTGAAGCGGCAGTGCTCCCCTGTGATAATGACCTTTGCTTATTGTCACATGTGCGCCGCATTCGCGATTGTTGCCGACGCCTGTTTGAAGGTCAGCTTACCACAGTTGTTATACATTTCGAAAAACCGATAAACTTTTAGGCGAAAAAGGCACTATTCCAGGCCCATTTTTGATTTTTTTGCGATATTAGGTGAAAACAGAAGCTTCTTATCCTAGGAAAAATAAAATGGGAAATCTTTCAAAGGTGGCACACTACCTTTAACCTGACCCCAGGGTGACTAGCTGAGTGATGTTTTTCGGTAATACAATTATTTGAGGCATTAACATATAGGTGCGTTTGAGGCATTAACCTAAGGTGCGTTTGTTCCTTCCTTTCTTGTAGGTATAATAAGAATTATGCAGTAAAATGTAATAATTAACATTGGTAAGTGACAACAACATTCATGTAGGTACATATTGTTTGTCGTTTTGCTCACAAGTCATGCTTTAAAAACGGAACCAAAGAGCTAAAGGTCGTTGAGCTGTCCGGTGCGTTTTTAAATGGTGCCGGGAATGTCCGGGTCTGCAGGTGTGAATCTGAACTGCAAATACCTTCGTCCTTCATTCAGTTCTTTAGCAGCCAGCCGGCATATGCACATTGCACAACGACTCTAATGAATGTACAATCAACAGGAAAGTCAGCCAGTCATGAAGAAATCGGCCTCAGTAAGTGTGCCAGGTGAGGCTGAAGGAGCGACTAGTCCATGAGGAAGTGACCGCCTCACCCGATCAACTCTATTGTCGGAGAAAGACGCAAGTCAGCCACCAAAAATATTCATGTAGCGTCGCTGCAATGTACACTGCAATGTGTGCAGACTGCAGACCATGCCGAATGGGGAGCGTCACTTAAAGCAAGACAAAACCACTTGCCTGTATTCTCATTACATCCCCACAGCCTTTACAGTTGACATAGTTATGTGTAACATCTATGGTGTAACACAATATATATGTGTACATACATTTTATTCGTATACGCCTACACACAAGCGCAATGCATGTTTGTAGGTACCTATGTATATTATACAACATAACCACATTTCACAATATACCTTTCATCATGGCATTAAATATGAGCGAGCGCGAAGCGAGTCTTTTTCAATATAACGGGCGAATCTCAGTATGAGCGGCCTGACCCGGCCCGACCCGACCCGACTTGGCCTGTAACGCTTTTGAGAGGCCTGTAACTCAGCGACCGCTGGGCAGATTGACCTGCGGTCTTTTTGTTGGGTAGCCACATCCCTTGCACTCCGTATTTGACTTTTCTTGATGTGTCTAGGTGACGTCGTGGCATGTGGCACGTGGAAAGCAAAGGATGTTCAAGTTGTTCTGCTGAAGTAGCGATATTGAGAAGCCTATATCTCGGCAACCGCTGGGGCGATTGACTTGCGGTTTTTTGTAGGGCTGCGTCCCTTCTGTTAAACATCGGACACGCTCGATGCTTGTCGGTCACCCCCAGTGCACGTGCAAAATGCAAAGAAAAGAGGTGTCAAATTTGATCCCATTACAATAACTCGGAAATCACTGGCGCGATTTCGCCTAAACTTGACATGTATGTACGAGGGGGTATCGAAAAGTTCTGATCATCACCATGAATTAGATGTGATAGAAATCTGATTTTTTTTTACATGATGTTCATTACTCCTTTACAAGTCACCACACACGACCGCAAACTTATTGCATCGTTTCTTCAGCTGCCTGAGGCGGTCATTGTAGGACCTTCGCACTGTCCCGTAAATCACTGCTCCACCTCATCAATGACGTCATTTCTGTCCATAAAACACCGGCCATAGTGTGGATTCTTCATCTCCCGTAACAATCAAGAGTCAGTTAATACCTGGTCAGGTGCATTTGTTAGATGCGGTAGGATTTAATGTCCACATCATGTTGTTTTTTCAATCGCAGCTCAGGACGAATTGGCGGGGGCGCTGTCGGTGCGGATAAAACATCTTTCTTGGGCTTTTTTGCGGCGATTTTGCTAGAGGCCATCTCGCAACTTCTTAAAAACTGTGCATTAGTGCTTGCTTATCATTATCCGACCATCATCAAGACAGTCGGTAATGACTATCCTACGCCAGATCCAGAACACTGATAGCATTGCCCTTCCATATCGGCTTCTGCATCTTCGCCTTTTAAGAAGGACAGATGTGCCGTGCTTAAACTTCTTGATCATCTTTTTGTCTCTGGATCATACACATAGACCCAGCATTCGTCACAAGTCATCAAATGATCGAAGATGTCTTCAATTTCCTAAAAAAGGCCTAGTTTTCATTTCGGAAGGCCAAGACGCATTTTTCTCTTGAACAAAGAAGACACACGAACTTCTAAGCGGGCTGACTCCTTTATCGTCTGTAGTTCTTCGCTGATAATATTTTCAGGCACTGCCAGCATTGAGACCTTTCTGTTGCACAATCATCTGAAAGGTCACACGACGATCTGTAAGGATGAGGTCCTCCACTTCCTTCACAGTCGTCACCTTGTCAGTCACTGGTAGTCACTCACTTCTTGACTCCCCTGCAAGGGTCATGCAACCAAGTTGAAAATTATTTCTTCATTTACGGTAAGTGCATGAGATGGGCTATCCTCGCCATAAACTAATTTCACGTTCTTGATGTATTTTCTCAGTGTGATACCGTTTCAAATGCATTAGTTGTATGATGGTTCGGTCCTCAATGGGCCCAATACTCATCTTTTTTACTTCTAAGTCTCTCCTACATAAGATAAAACCACTTCTCAGGATTCTCTTTGCGGGAGCATTGTTCTTAAGAACCAAATATAATACCAACCAAAAATCATCAAAATCGGTCTATACCTTCTATCTGATGATCAGAACTTTTCGATACCCCCTCGTATAAGGCACCCACCAGGCACTGCATTCCCATGGGTTACGAAGGGTGCTATACGTGCGCACGTGCAGGGGGCGTTTCCAGATCTCGAGAACGGCTGTGACGACTGCGCTCAAATTTGGTGAGCGGCTAGAGACCGGTTGGTAGGGTGCAGTGCACAAGCCAGTTGGAAGCAGGATCAGTACCCTCTCGCCCTTCCGCGCGTGCAGGGCTCATTCTCTCGCTCGCTCGTCTTCGGTCAAAAGACGTTTTACTGGTCTATCTTTATCTCCATATTTATGAATCTAACCTGTATTATTACAGAGTACCTATGTATTTCCATCACGGCATGCCTCAACATTTCAGCTCCATACAACTCAAGGACTCTTCTGTCCAGTCTACGAGCCATTATCACAATATCGCGCCTTAACCCGCGCACCGACGGGGGGGCGGATATCCGCCCCCCTGAGGTTTCTTGCGAATAGCGGGAAAACCGGATTTGGTACGACTATTCCCTCATCAATTTTACACATGGTGTGCAAGTTTGAACCTCCTACCTTTTAAGGTCAGGTCACCAGGTCACTTTGAATGACCCAACCTCAAGTCACTTTTTTGCAACTTTGTCACCGTGCCAGAGCTACAGTAGATGTCGGAGGCCTTTGAACGTCGCAGGATGTGATAAGTTCATTAGTAGCTACTGTATATCTCGGAATTTTGATATCGGTGACCTAAGGTCACGTCAATTTTGCGACCTCCCCATTATAAGTCAATGGGGGAAAATCAACTCCCTATTTTTACCACTAAAACGGGTCGGAATGGCCCCATATACCATACATGACTTCATAATACGATCAACCTTCACTACCTTGAGGTCTGTTTTGCTGTTGGGCAGCTGTGAGGTCATGTGACGTCATCAAAGGTCACCAAAGGTTTTTGGCCAATAACTCCGTACAGGAACAAGATACAGCCGCGTGGATGGTCTCATTGTGTTCAGCTCGTCAAGACGCATCGAATGATATACATGATGACCTCGAGGTCACGTGACCTGAGGTCAACCTTTGACCTTGACTTTTCGAGGTCAACATATATATCATTCGATGCGGATTGACAAGAGGATCACGATGATGCCCTTAGCTTGTTCTTATCTTGACTAATTCGAAAGTTATTCGAGAAAAACTCTCTCCATATCTAGCGCCGCCATTTTGACTTTTTCGACCCCTGTGACGTCATCTTTGACCTGACCTGAAAATGACCTTAGTAAAAATTGTAGATCTTGACCGTGCGTATCCGATGCCGTTTACCGCTTGTCGCTATCTTGCTTCGTTCTCGAGATCTCAGGGGGGGGGGGCGGTCATCCGCCCCCCCCCCCCGTCGGTGCGAAGTTGGCGCAGACCCCCGTCGGTGCGCGGGTTAAAAAAGCGTATTTTCACAATCGCGTACCTTTACGACCAAGCATCTCAAGTCCATGGTCAACCTCGCTTGCCCCATCACACGGCCGATACGTAGAGCTCGTTCCTGACCATGTCGGCGGGTGGGTCCGCTGAAACCGGCTCGCCGAGCGGGGGCACCGGCGCGATCTCGGCGTACTCTGGTAGGTCATCGGCTTCAGGACATTGAACGACCGCTGTCGCTGCGAGGACAGGCCCGCGCTCCTCCGCGGCGGCCGCCTCTTCCTGCCGGAGAAGACGGTCTCAATCACATGGGCACTTGCAATTGACATGCAGTTGACATAGTCGGAGTGAAATTCGTGTGCTGAACTCGTGCATATGGGAGTATGTATGCATGCGCGTATCTATCCGATTCATGAGTGACCCGTAGGTTTGTAGGTCAGTAGGCGGCTGTAAATCATATAGGACAGGCGGCAGAGTGAATTTACATTTCACAGTAAATCTTTACAATCAGGTACCGGCTACCGCGCTTCCTCGGAGACCGATCACGGCGTTGTATCCGTGCTACTGTTTAATGCAATTTATATATGCTAACCTCATTCGTACAGTGATGTTAGTGTGATGATGGTCACTATAAAGCTGAATTCATGGCATTCAGTATTACATTAGTATTTTTGATATAGCGCAGGACATACCTATTACCTAATGTTTCGAACTAATGGTATATGGTGATAATGTACATGTGAACGTTTCAGTAAATATGATATTCACAAAGCACACTTGCCAGGTAACGTCACTCTCACAAAAGATGCTGTTCATACATAGTGTTCAATGCTCACACTCACTGTGATTAGTCTAAATACCATGCTCCTGCATGAGCCCGGAACATGTCCGGGCCCCCAGGGCCACTGAGAAAAATTAAGAATCCTCACCATTTTAACTGAGGTATCTACCGATGGCCATTCACCCCAATCATTCCCATTCAAATTTCGATCAAGTTATGAATCAGTTGTAGTAGGAAGGGAGCTAATAGCTCAATTCAATTTTGTCTTATTTGCTTAAATTTTCTCTTAGTTTATTTAGATTAACCCGAATCCCACAAGGCTTTTCAGCCGAACGAATTAGAGGGAGGTGTGTGGGGGGGGGGGGGGCAGGGGCGCAGATTCTGCCCTACTCCAGCTTCCAAATGGACGGTCGTAGAAAGATGGGGAAAACAGCAATCGAAAGCCCTTAACAAGATGAACCTATGAAGCCATTTTTTTGCAGAAGTAGATCAATGGTCACGCCAAGATCAGCTCCAAGGAAAAATTGCAATTTTTTACTTTACTGGCTTTGTAGCCCGGCCAGCAAAGAACGGACTGAGATTGATTACCCAAGTAGCGTTCTCAGGATACCATGAAGATAAGATGATGCCAATGGCATGCAAAAGTCAAAGTCAAAGTCAGGTTATCAAAGACAAAGTGTTGAATAGGATATGCTGTTTTTAATTCCTTACAAGGTAAACAACTCCAAAAAATCATTTTTTGATTTTTTTTTGCGTTTTGATGGAATTAAAAATTGAGTAATTTCTACATTTTTAACTGATTCATCTAAAAGTTGAAATGTCGGTTAAAGATCGTAGGTATTTCTCTGACATAGGTATGCTCAGATTTTTTTTATAAGCTTAAACTTTGGAATTTGTTAACGATTTTTAAAAGAGAAAAAGCAGTTTAAAAATCACCAAAATCCAAAGTTTTCAAAAGCCGAGGCAGCCATTTGATAGACAAAGTAGAGTCATGCTCTCTTGCTATCCCTACCCATGCCCTTATTCCTAAAAAAAACTTTTAGAAAAGATTTTAGAAGCGTTTGAAGTTTTACTGTCTTTGAAGCGAAAACGGCGCGGTATGATGTCACTGATACGTTATTTTATTAACAGACAAAATCTGACAGATTTCCTCAAGTTTTCGGGGAATTGTCTCTTTGATGCATGATAAGGTACTGAAAGATTGACGTCGCTGGCTTAGCGTGTTTAGAAGCTATTGGCGAAAAACGGGTGAAGGGGGGCAGATTCAGTCCTTCCCCCAGCGGGCGCGGGTTAAGTCGTCAAGATTTCAGCTCGCCCACGCGGATGGTAACAGAAATAAGCTGTTTCTAGTTGTTATTTTATTGAGTTTGCTGGCTCCCATTCCGATCAAAAGTAGCCTCAGGGTTAGTTGGCACCTGCTCACCTGAGAGTCGTGGCGGAGCGGTGGCTGCGCAGCATCCTGATCGGCGCGTGCGTCAGCGGCCGAGGCGTCAACTCTGCCGGCGCCGGGCATGTTTGCATACGTGTGCTCGGCGTCTCTCAGACGATCCGGCTGGCAGCTGCAGCCGGCCGTGTCGGCCGAGACGGCGTACGGCGCGGTCGGCGGACAGGTGCAGGCGCGCGCCTCCGGCGAGTTGGCGTACGCCGACTCCGACGGACGGGCGGCCATCGGAGGGTCGGCCACCTCCGAGTAGATCGCCTGCGAGTGCTCGGTGTCGCCGGGAATCACCAGTCGGCAGTAGGCGCCCGGGCTGCCGGGCGCTGCCTTCCCGCCTGCCGAGTGCTGACCGACGCAGTCGGCGCCGGCCGGCTCGGGTCGCCACGGCCGGTCGGAGCGCCTCTTCGGCAGACGGCGGCAACACCGGACGGTGATGATGATTAGAAGCACGGTTAGCGCCAGTAGGAGACTCGCCAGGGCCGCCACGCCCAGGTACGACCAGCCGGGCGCCAGAGGGGTGTGGTCGTCTGACTGACCTCCCAGACCGCCGGCGCCGGCCGGTGTACCGCAGTGCTGAGCGGCGAACTCGCCCAGCGAAATGCCTTCGACGGTACAGTTTCCGGCCTCGATTTGTCGTAGTAATGCGTCCTGCTCCTCCGTGATTGTGCTCACGGTTCCTCGGAAGCCAGAGGCGTTCCTTGCGCCATTGGAGGCGCCCAACAGGAGCTGACGCGCCCAGCTGGGGGTGCTGCAGGCACAGCCGCCAGTCAGCTGGAGGTCGGTCAGCGCGACCGGTGCAGCAGCGGAGAGCCTCAGGGCACCCGGCTCCGCGCGCTCCACACTCAGACCGTCCAACGAGAGGCCGCCGTCCGAGTCGGCCAGCTGCAGGCCCCTCAGCGCATCGCGGCGCAGGAAGCCGACCCTCAGCCGGTGGAGCGACACCGAGTCTGCGGACGCCACCTGCAGCGCCCACGAGCTCAGCTCGCCGACGGAGGTGCTGGAGACGTGCAGCAGGGTGGCGTTCACGCTGACGGCTGCCGGGCTGGCGCTGGCGATCCGGCAGTGGGAGACGGTGATGTTTCCGATGGTGCCGTGAATGCTGCGCGGCGACAGTTGGTCCAAGGTGCAGTCGTCCATGGCGAGCCGTTTCCAGCCCGCACTGGCGTCCAGACAGCGCGATTCCACACTCGAAATTGTCACGGAGCGGAGTAAGACGCTGTCTGTGGACCCTCCGAACGCGTGCGGGGGACATGAGTCGGTCTCGACATTCCGGAGGCTCAGGGTTCCGAGTTTGCCGCTGATGGCTCCGGGGCTCAGCCGTAGAGAGCGGACGTTCTCGAGCTGCAGGGAGCTGATCATGCCGCCGATCGCGCCCGTCTCCAGTGTCAGGGTGCTGACGTTGGAGAACTGCACACGGTGGAACATCGAGTCGAACGGCAGGGCGTCAGTCTCGACGTACACGCTGTCTGCGTTTGTGACGGACAGGGTCGCCAGCTTGCTGTGCCAGCCGAGGAAGGCCGACTTTCTTATTTGCAGTTCACCAACGTCCTTCACTGTAAGCGAGACGTTTCTGTCGGCTTCTACTTGCACCTCGGTGCTCTCCTCCAAAACTAGCCTTTCGATGTCGGAGAAAAGCATTCTGCGTAGGTTGTGATTGGAGGACACTGCGTCGCGTTTTAACCAAACGCTTCGACCTCGTAGAATTCTAGCTTCTTCCAAGTTCGGTGCCCCTCTCAGTAGTATGTTAATCTATGGGAATAACACAACATTGCATGTCAAAATATTAGTATCTTGTATCGTTTTTAAAAACGAGAACATTGTAAAAGGCATCAATTCTTTCACTTGGAGAAATAACATAGCTTAGATATTGGATGACTCCTCCGCGCTAACGTGCTCACCTCAGGGACACTGAAGCTGCAGGTCAGATGGGTGCGATCGTCGTCATAACAGCATCCCACTTTGTTACACTCTCTCGCCAAGGTGTATCCGATGACGTCACAGAGTAGGAGCAGCACGGCCAGGGTGGCGGATGCTGCTCTCCGGCGGCGTTCCACCATGCTGAGCGGCGCAGGTCGGGTCGTCGACAGCCGGTTCGCCAGCTCCTGTGGTGCAGCGGGTCACTGGCACATCCCCTGACACCCACTGGTCAGCCCTGACGCCTTATCGCCTACAGTGACGTCACTTCCAGCCGTGACGTAAAACATCCACTGGAAGGTTCACAGTCTCCTCACACACCATTCCTTCTCAGCTAAAAGTTGTTTTTTTTTTTGCTAAAAAGTTCGCTGATTCGAACAAACAATGAAGTTTATTTATTGGTTTACTAAGGATCGAAGCGCATGAAATCATATCATTTTTCAATTAATTTTAAGTTTGCTTTGGGATGATCACATTCTGGTGTCAAAGCCTCGCTGACCCTTACATGATAGTAACATCAGTACTTACGTTTCTGTCATATATGGAACATACCACTAACGCTCAGACGTTTAGGGTGCAGCCAGGACCCTGACCCTCTGCACATTTTTGTGCACGGTGCACGATGACCGGACGCGTGAGGCGGATTGCTGATGCAGCGACGTTTCCCTCCACCGCGCCGTTCGCAGCTTCCTTTCCCTGCCCGGTGACTGGGTATGTCTGCAGGACGCAGGATTTCCCGAGGCCCGACAATCACATCCGGACACTGTCAACTCGTCAAGAGAGCAAATATGACTCATTCTTAGTCATTTATGTGTAGTTACAGTGTGTATATGTGGACAGTTGTACACATGTTTCAAATATGCGATAATTGTGCGTGCCTGCATATCAGGCATTGCATCATCAAAAAAGTTCTCGCGATGCGACGGTATAATTCCACTGCGGCCGAACGTTTTCGGTTCACCATTCCTGGTGTTAATTGCTTTAGCAGGGCTGCTTAAAAAAAGTCACGTAAGATATTTTACATATCAATATCATAGGTACGTACAGTCTGTCTTAAAAGTACCGCGTAAAGTAAAGGTGGATCCATCAAGCCTGACCGAGGAAGTGCCGGCTATAATTTGAAAGTCACCGAACATATTGACCTGGGAATGGACGAGGATGTCAATTGCTTTGGTGACTCAAATTTAGCCGGCTCTTCCTCGGCCAGGCTTGATGGATCCATCCTTACTTTGCGCGGTACTTTTAACCCGGCAGTTGCTGGGGTATTTCGCCACCCACCGTTTGCTGGGGGGGGGGGGGGGGGCGTTAAACGCCCCCAGCCGATAACTCGAGAACCAATAGGCGCAGCGAAACGCACGAGGCGGCAAACGAAAGAACGCGACGAGACGCTTCAGATGAGTACTTTAAAGTTGAATTTTGAGGTCACAGGTCGGGTCAAGGTCAGGTCAAACACCTGAAATCGGGCTTTCAGTAGCATGGACTTCAGGACTTCGCAATGGGCGGCTCTCGTCATAAACTCTGTCAAAACGGTGCACAATCCATCATATAAGGCCTACAAGAGTGTCAGCTCCATGTAGGGGTCAGTCAAGCAAAGGTCAGGGTCAAGGTCAGGTCAACCGGGTAGGCACATATCCCCGAAAATCAAAACTGATATTCGCAGCCTGTGACACATGTTTTATGGGTAATTTGGGGCGTAGAACACGATGATGACATTCATTTTGTCATATGTGTACGTGTTTGGCTAAAAAAGCTCAATTTAAGAAATGCATGTATCATGGTCGTGAAGTAGTCACGATAAATTGCCAAGATTCAGTTCAAGATTTTGGAAAATGCGGATCGATAATCAATAATCGAAGATAGCCATTTGATTGTTCATGGTATTGGCAGTCTAATGGCGTTTACGGCATGTCTGTATGTCTATTCTGTGATTTTATATGATTTTTTGAACATATGCCGTTTTTGGTCGAAAACTCAGAAATCATGACGTCACTAAAACCTCGATATCTCAAAAATTGTCGGTCCGATGTTTTTGAAACTTTGTCACAATACACTTCAATTAATTCCCTACAGGTACGCAAAATTTGGCGCGCCTGCGGCGCGCCGTTTTTATGCTATGGCCCGGCGAAAAAAGTGGGGGCGTTTAACGCCCCCCCCCCAGCAACTCGCGGGTTAAGACAGACTGTACAATACATACATACCGGTAAAACGTCTAAAGTCGTTCTTACGTCATCATGCTACTATGATGTGAGCCCATGTCTTTAATCACCCGACCCAACCTCACAGAGAACTAGACAGCATGGAGCGCAATGAACAACCACTTCAGCGCAACGCATATCTATTCAAACATGATAGATAATTATACATATTTATGATTCACCAATAACGAAGGAAACCACAATATGCATGAATATTGCGAGCCAAATGATAAACCAACATCATCGGAGGAAGGTGGTTTGTAATGAGGGAGAACATACCCATAGGGTCTCACATCCTTATGCAGCCTTACAAGTTCAATGTGCCGTAATGCTCCGATACCCTTTCCCCGTTCGGCTTTCTACATATATATGTAGGTATAACCATTAGACATCACATTTAACATATTTGACGTCCACAAAGTATCACGGTCCGTTTGACAGAAAACAGCGATTCTAAGCTCAGTCGCCTTCGGTCGGTTTCTTCTGCTGGCTGTGCCGTGCCTCGTACCACTTCCTGGCCGCCACCAGGAGCACGGAGATGACGACCAGCGCCATGCCGATGAACGAGTACATGCCGGGCACCTGGTCGAACCACACCACCTGCCACACCACGGCGTACAGGATGTCGGTGGTGCGCGCCACCGCCACCGGGCCGGCCAGCTCCAGCTGACACGCCTTCGTGAAACACATCTGCACCAGGAAACTGAGCACGCCGACAGCGAGCACCAGCAGCCAGGGCAGCGCCGTGGTGGGCAGCGAGCGGTCGCCCACGGTCAGCCACACGATCACGGAGAGCGGCACGGCCGTCAGACTGAACACCGACACCGTGGCCGAGTAGTGCACGTCGCGGAGCTGGCGCAGCGACACGTACGTGATGGACGTCACCACCGTGGCCGTGCAGGCCAGCACCGGGCCGACCGCGCTGTAGCCCTCGCCGGTGCCGCCGCCGAACAGGAACGGCGGCCGCACGATCAGCACGATCCCCGCGAGCGTGCCGGCGATGGTGAGGGCGTTCACCCACGTGAACGGCTCCTTCAGCCACAGGCGCGCGAATACCGCCACAAAGACGGGCACGCTGAGCACGATCACACTGGCGTCGGCCAGAGGCATTAGACGCATCGCGTAAAACTTGAGCACGAGTCCGGCGGTGCCGAGTACCGAGCGGACCAGCATCGTGCGCCGGCGGCCGCGCGGGAAGATGGACGTGCCACGGCGAATGGCCACAGCCATCGCTGGGACGAGAAGGATGGCGAAACGGAACGCCGACAGCGCCGCCGGGTCCACCGACGACAGGCCCTTGACGAGTGCGTTCACCAATGACGAGCAGAAGGCGGCAAACAGTGCCAGCAGCAGGCCCAGGTGGGAGCTGCAGCGGCCGCCGCTGGGCGTAGCGCTCGCCGGGTCCGCACTGCCGCCGCAGGTCTCCGGGCGGGGCGGCGCCAGCAGCGGCGTCTTCTCAGAGGTCACATCGGTACAGGAGGAGACAGAGTGTCGACACGAGCGTGTACCGGTCACCGATGGCAGCGGAGCCGAGTCGGAGTCGTAGTCGCCGCTCAGGTCCAGAGACAGCACTCCTTTCTGTGGACGACAGCGGTACGATGGTGTCACGAAAGGTCAACACCTCCCATATGTCATGGTTTCGCCCATCCTCTTCCCCTTCCTTGATCACCTTGCTGTTCTCGGGGCTAGAGTTGTCACTGAAAGTACGGACTGAAATGTAGCAACTCACATCAGAGTCCACTCTCCCGATGATGGCGGTTAGCGCAGATCAGTGACCTGTCTATATCTTATCATCTCACGGCGCTCAAGCTATGAGTGTTTGACGAAAAGCTATCATATTCCGAATAACAACAACATGAGCAACGCTTCCAAATATTTGTTTGAGAATATGCTTGAAAGGTACGCATTTAGGTTGATCCGTAAGCGGTGTCCTTATAAGGACACCGCTTACGGATATATAAGTAATGACTAATGCCTTTATGAACCCACATAGATGCAGTTCTTCACAGCAGGTGAGGTATTCCATCAGTCGTTCGGTTTTTTAAATTGATCATGCTTGCGAAGTTTATCAATCCATGTGCCTAACACCGAAATAAAACTGTATCTGCTAGGTACCTACGGATATACATACATATATATATATATATATATATATATATATATATATATATATATATATATATATATATATATATATATATATATATATATATATATATATATATATATATATATATATATATATATGAAACACGATGATTGCACGGAACCTATCAATCTATAGTTTTTATCCTCTCAGTACCTCCGTACATCATTATCTGACTCGCAACCAGGGGTGGATAATTAGGGCAACCAGGGGTGGATAATTAGGGGTTTTGGGGTGCTCGAGCACCCCTCTCAAAAGCCACCGTGCAATAGTCCTCCAGGGGTGCTTAACTTACGTCTGAGGCACAAACTGCTTTGCGTAAGCCGCGAGGAGAGTGATGCTGCTTGGAAAACGTAGTAACGTACCTACACACGCTTTTCTACGCAAAAATTCGAAGCTTCCATTCGCCAGCTGCTAGAAAAGCACCCCCTGGGATTATGACAATTCTCCGCCCCTGCTCGCAACTTTGAACCTCGAAGCTATTTTCTTATTCTATAAAATACCCCGATATCATACATGAGAGAGCGCATGTAACTTTTTGCACCTTTTTGCCCGTCCTATTTATTTAGCCGTCCTAACATCAACATGACTGTCATAAAGATAATTTGCCCCTCGACAAAAAAAAATCCATGACTAAGGCCTGCGTAGGCCACCTGGGCCTTACTAAAATCTTCATTAAACAACATCAGAAAGAAAGACCACCGTAGATTATCATGCTCAAGGATGTCCTTTATAGACGTCAGCACGTAAGCTATAGACATCTGTGGCTAGCAAAGCCCCCACAGTCACTGCGATGCAATGGTGCTCTGCGCCCTAATCTCACCGGTTTGGCGCCAGGGGGACCGTCGCCGGACTGGGTCTTGGTGGCTGACATCGCCGACCGTAAGACAACACCGGAGCAAGCCGCAACACCTTCCGTCTGCCAACTGACTGTCCAAACTGTCAGCGGCGTCACTTCTGCGCCGCTGGCTCCTCAGGAATGACATCTGTCTCGCAGACTCAGTGCAGTGAGACCAAATCCAGACCGCAACTGTCGCAAGTTTGTTTATCTTTGCGGAGGCTCGTCGGCAGACTG